TGTGTCACAAATATTTGGGATACTTGAATTTTTATTGAATCCTGAAAAATTTTCCACGGAAATTTTTCTAGATAAAGATTTCTCAGGTCTCTACGTGTTGAATTTGCGGTACTTCCGAATCTAATTGATCCTTAGATTTGTAATCCTTTCGCGTAGTACTTGACGACGACATTGAGAGCTTTCCAGCAAGCGACACAAGTCGATCGTTGTTCTATCTTTTTTTTTGGCAATGAGTAACAAAGACAAAACGACACTTGTGTCGCTTGCTGGAAAGCTCCCATTATAGATCATATCACTCTTTTGCGCAAGTTTGTGCACTGATTGTCACTGAGCAAACACAATGCATAATATAAATTTTGATACGAAATTACCTGGGAAGAAAGAAATTCGCTTTAGTCACGTCTTAATGCTTGGACAACTTTTCAATCTTTCCTCGTACGGAACGCTTCAAAATCTCTCAACGTCGTTTATGATCGCACACTGTTGTTCAGAGAAATATCAAAGTTAGAATTACAGGTTTTTTTTCTCGTAACCAGAGGATAAAAATGTTTGATGAAATAGCGCGGAAAGCCGACGGGAGCAAAGAAATGCTGACGTGATGGAGAAACGGGTGAGACCATTTCGATATTAATATTCAAGACGCGATTAATATTATCGATCATGTGGAAGCCCCTTTACGCCTCATTGCTATAGTTCTCACGCGCGATCTTAGTGATACTATTAATATTCAAAATACCGAGACTGACATCGATCGAGCGTGCGCCAGGAACTCTTTTCTCGGTACGGCAGTGTCGGCTGTGGCGTAATGTATATATCTCGAGACACACCGGTCGCGTACGAACGTATACAAGTGTACACAATACGTGCGTGTGCACACACGCGAAGCGCGTGTGCTTGCGCCGTCGCCGGATGAGTCATCGAGCGCGCGTTGCGCATTGCACGCACGATGGCGCAGAACTTCCTTTTTTTTTCTTTTTTCGTTATTGCCGATAGTCAATATTGCATACGAGTCGAAAGAGTCTGGAAATTGGAAATTCGGGCAGTTCTAGAATATCTGGGGGATCCTTTTACTCGCGGAACATACGACGCGTTTCCGAGAAGTTTGACATCCGAAAATTTTCAAATATTTACGGATGCGAGAGGATATATTACAGACACGAAAATCTAAAAGTCGATCGTGAAATATGTCCATGTGAAAATTAAACTAAAAATTAACGGTGAATATAAATAAAATGTAGAAATATAAGATAAAAATAAATATAACAGATCGCTTTTTTCAATTGTTTCTAGCTGATATCTTAACATCGAAAATTAAATTTAAATTCAAAATTCATATGAAGATTCTTTTAAAATAAGAATTAAATTTGAAAGTAAGAATAGAAAGACGATTCAAATTGAGATAAAAGTTGAAACTCCAGTAAAAATTAAATTTTGTTTACATTCTTTACAAATACATTATTTACTCATCAAATAATTTCGAAATTTTTGGGACACTTAATCATAATTTGATATTTGATATATGATTCATAAGTTATTGTGAATTCTATTGAAGAAATTGATGGAAGATTTATCAGAAAACTTAGTAGAATTTATTTATATTCGTGGATACATGAGGATATTCAACTTATAATGGCAAAACTCTGTCAAGACTCTATCAAGACAGGCATTTCCCATCAGAAGTTCTTAAAAAAGTTCCTTCCCTGAAGGAAGATGTATAAAGCCAGACCGTGCCATTTCTATGCTCATACTGCCAAAAGAGAAAATAAGAAGGGAGAACGAGTATATAAGATGCTGAGTGTTTAGCATCATATTTTACAATAATCACATCTAGAAGGTTTTTTTTTTAAGTAAATCGCTTTCAGCAAAATAACAGTTGTATTTCTTCTGTGAATTTTACGCTCGAATCTTTTTTTTTGTTGAAGAAAAATAAAGTTTTAGTTTTATCTCAATTTGAATTGGCTTTCTATTCCGTCTTTAATTTCAAATTTAATTTTTATTTTAAAAGAATCTTTATATGAATTTTGAATTTAATTTTGGTTTTTGGACTTTGGTTAAGATCTCAGCTAGAAACAATCAAAAAAGTGATCTGTTGTAATCTATTTTCTATTTTTCTTTATCTATTATCTATTATCTATTTTTATATTTTTACATTTTATTTATATTTAAATTTAATTTTATCGAGAGTCTGCTTCCTCTCCTTCCGCTCGCGGAAATTTCAAAACAGACACGGCGCCTCTGCAGCCAACAAAAGGACCACGCAAATCCACAGATTCAGATACAACTGCATCTCACATTTTTCCTACAAAATACCACAGTGTTTGCAATACTCTTTTTTTCTTCTCCGACAACAAAAAACTAGCGCGCTAAAGGTTTAAACCGTTTAAACCGTGCGTCGCGACGTTAGGCTCGGTATGAGGGGTTAAATTACGCTCCTGCGCAGAGCTCCGGCGGTGCCCCCGTAGGACCCCCGTCCTCCGCCGCGCCGGGCAGCGTTCTCCACTCTCCTCGAACGTTCTCCGCTCTCCTCGTCGCCGGCGGACCTCGTCGTCGTCGTCGTCGTCGCCGCGCGTACCGCGTACCGCGCCGCGCTTTAGCCAGGCCAGGCCTGGCCTCTCCTCCTCAGTCTTCGCTCGCCGGCCGTTGGCAGGGGATTCCGCATCGATCGCGCTCCCGCGGCTGTAGATCTCCCGTGTGCCGTACACCTCGCGCGCGCACTCTCGCCCGTTCCCCCAGGGAGCATGCTGGCCCGACGTGAGCCTCGCGGGGCCCCCCGGGTCCGCGCGATCGCGCTCTCTTGAGAGCCCGTGACGTCATCCCGACGAGATCCGTCGCTCCCCACGTTCCTCCCTTCCTTATCCTCCCTCTTCCTCCTCTCCCGGTTCCCTGATCCCCACGATAAGATCGCGTACTCGCGGACGGTATCGCGTCGGGAGTGCGTAACCGGGGATTTCTCTCTCTCTCTCTCTTTCTTTCGGATGTAATATTCCACGGGCTCCTCCGTTTCCCGAGCGTGTAGGAACGTAAAACTGGGCCACCGGATCGCTGTCGCTGGATTTCTATTAGCCATCGGACCCGGACCTCACGGTTTCTGGATATGTAGATGCAAGGTGTGTAATCGGGATTTCTTTCGGACTCTCTTCGAGTTTTCCAGTCACCTAGCGCCTATAAGTGACGTACGTTTTCCATTGGGATGCCTGGTAACTCCTCGCATTTCGCTTCCCCGGATTTGTACATCGAGGATTCTGCAATTAAAACGCGCTTGTATCTCTCTCGATCTGTCGTGCCTTGGATGCGTGAGTCGAGAATTAAAACACTTGGGATGCCACGATCGTTAGATTACTCTACTTCTACGTAGGCGTTTTAATTGAGCTGTATCTTCGGACACTTTCCACGAGTCTCTGTAAACAGTTGCTCGAAATCGTATAACATAGATGCTCTTTTTGATACGAAATTCCAAAAGTGAAAAAGGAAAACTGGTTTTTTTTTTATCCTTAAGCTTTTAGATCTTCGGATCTTGAGCTTTTTTGATAGAACTTGCCTTTTCGTGCAACTTCTTTTTACACAAATGAGTATAATTTTTCCAAATTTTTAAATTCTGTTCTATGGAGATTGTTTAAAAGATTTTAGTTCTTTTTGTGTAAATTTAATTGTAACCGTTATCTGATTAAAATAGATTATTTAAAATGCTGGAAAATGCTAGGTAATATAAAATTATATATTACGAGAGTGTATTCTTAATCGTTTGCAAGTGTTTTACTGAATGTTTTAATTAGTTGCGCCAGTTAATTGCCGCCGAATGCAGATCGGGGATATAACTGTGATGTAAATGAGAAATCGAGACGCTTGGTCCACTTTTCAATCTGGTGTAAATTAAAACGTTAATTAAAATCAGGATTTTTGAAGCGTATTTTTAAATTGTCGAGTCTTTTAAGTGACGAGTTCTTACATCCAGCTGGAGATTGAGATAAATATTCTTAAGAGTACCCCTTCCCTCTCAAATATTGAACTGTATATCTTGATTTTTGAATTTTCAAATATTTATAGATTCATGTATTCTTAAACCTTTTTTAATTTATGCATCTTGAGACTCTTTATACGTGTGTACATAATTTACTACAGCTACAGTCCCAAATATTTGGGCAAATACTACGATTGCGCTGAAATAATGAGATGAATATGAAAGGCTCCGGATTAATCCGGAGAAATTATCATTCTTTTCGGGTGAATGGGAGAACGCAGGACGACGTATTCCGCACGATGGCAGGTGTCGGTGCTACACCTGTCCGTAAAGCTGAATGCCCCGGTCAGGTTGCGAGTAGCGATAGTCCCAAACAAATATCCCTTTATCTTTATTTTTTAGTCAACACGACAATAAATTACTTTATTTACGTCGCAACCCGTTTCATGAATATCGCGTTAGTTCTCAATGACGGACTCTTTGAAAAATACGTGCCGGACTTTCCCTTAACGTAAGCGCGCTCATTATGCTTCGCGATTTGTTTATCGCGGATATTAAAGCTACGATTAAAACTGGTATTTTCACAAAGTACGTCCGAAGTTAACTGACAATTAGAATACCGCGATATTTATAGTTTGCTTCCGTAAAGTTTGATCTTTTAATTTTTAGGAAAATGTAAAGGAGAATTAATAGTGAATCAAAAAAATTTTTTCGTTATTTTCTGTCAATAACTGACACAAATACTTTACAGACGTAATAACAAATAAAACTGCAAAATAACGAAGTTTACAAATGATAGAAATAAATAACAGAAACATATATCACGTTTTCAATATATTTCCCTCTTATTGAAATAAATTGAAAATGGAAATGTGGAATTTATTTAAATAAATTTTATTTACGGGTTTGAGGTTTTTTATTTAATCTGTAAGTTTTTCATTTATTTAAATAATGCTTTGATTAAATTTCAGTGAACATTTTTTTTACTAAAAGCATATATGAAGCCAAATATTTCTCATTTTCTCACTTTTATTATTATTGAATAATTTATATGTTGCGGAAAAATAACGTTGCAGTATTCAAAGTCTTTTTTCCTGAAAAGTTTCCATATGTTGATTTTATGCAAATTAATACATTTGCCAGTGCTTTTTCACGAGTAAACTTTCTCGGACTGTTTGATGATGATGCCTCTTTGTACAACCGTTCGCGAGAGATATCAATAGGTATTGCGAGGGTATCGGGCCCATCGCTAGTCGCGGGGTCTCACTTGCCGCTCGAAGCGTCGAATTCCACAGCGTTTACTCATACGAAAGAACGAACTCGAAGACTTCTCGGGGCCGGAGAGAAACTTCGATGGCGGAAGAGAAGTGGGAGAGTGGTCGGGCGAGAGAGAGAGAGAGAGAGAGAGAGAGAGAGAGAGAGAGAGAGAGAGAGGAAGAGAGAGGGAAAGAGAGTAACCGATGGTTTCCCGTTTAATCGGCCGTTGATTCTAACTGAGTATCATTTGATTCGATCTAATTCTATTAAGCTTTCCAAAACTTAACGGAAAGACTCAGATTCATTGAAAAATATAAAATTCACATGAACGTAAAAATAAAAAGTAATACAAATGTATAATCTAAACGTGATCTTCATTAAATCCAAAATCCAATATCTTCGATATTTGGGTAGGTTGAGAATTCAGAAACTAGAACTCCTTTAAATTTTAATGACGCAGCAACTCCTTGCTGAATTCACGCGGTCTTCGTTTGAGATATTTTTGATACATCGAGATGATTTCAGAAGTTGTAAAAGAAAGATGTCAAAGCAGAAATCTATAAACTACAAAGTCCAAGGAATCTAGATTTTAAGACGGAGCGACACGCGGGTAAAGTACGCGCGGCGTTATTTATAAAAACAAACAAATCGCGTGCTAGCAAATCCCGGGTGTATCACGTAATTTCTAACTTAGTACATCGTCGCTTACAACAGATCTTTCGTAACGCACATTGGTCGACATCCAACTGCCAAATTAGAATTGTAACTAAAAGAACGGGATAACGCAAGGACCCGAGAATTCGAAGGCTCCGCGATCTAAATACTTGTGATACGAGCATTGAAAAATTTGAAGTATTATTTATATATTCTCTTGCGTGGAAATTAGAAGGCATTAATTCGAAGACGCATGGAGTTTATATTTATTTATCAATTCGATTCAATTAACATCCCTTATATTTTTGAGTATTCGCAGTCGAGATAAGATTAGTGGCTTGTAAGAAGTTACAGAAAATAGAGAAGTTGTGTGTGTGTGTGTGTGTGCGTAGATTCTAATCTAGAATCTGAATAATTCGGAATCCAGAGGCATTAGAAATCTTACAAAATTATTATAAATCATAAATTGTGAATTCGGAAGAAGGAAACGTAGGAAGATTAAAATTATGTGGAAATAGGTATATAACAAGGAAGTAAAAATATCGTTTTATTTTTAATTTATTTTATTTTAAAACAAAAATCATCCAATTTTCAGAAGTCAGTTGAAATGAAAGCTAAAGATCATTCTTCTCTCTAACCGTTTATTTTAATATTTCTTTACGAGCGTGCGAATTTTCGCCAATGTGGAAACCAATGGCAAATAACCGCAAGAAATACGCGAAATACGCGAATAAGGAATGCGCGAATGTGGAGATTCTGTCATATCAACTGACGTAAGGGAGAAAGGAATGAAAAAAAAACTGCTGACGTATCCCGATCGTTGACGTTTCAGCGCCAACCGCAGGACCGTGCCATCACGACGTAAGCACCATCGACGTGAACTCCAACAACACCCACCACCACCATCACCACCATCACCACCACCATCATCACCGCGGACACAACCAGCACGACCATCGGCCTCAAGACCGAATTCCATCGTCCTCCTCGATGTCTACCTTGCTATGCTGCGAGCCAGTGTCGGCTGGCCGGCCTCGGGCCAATCTGAAGCTCGTGCTGAACCGCAGCCTGAGCGAGCCAGGACCGAGTCCCTGTGCCTTCCCAGCACCGCCGGCGGCGTCGCCGATCGCCGTTAACAATAACAACAATAGCAACAACAATCCCACTGAGCCGCCCTCGATAGTGATCAACGAGGAGGCGAACGGCGACGACGAAGACGACGACGTCCACCGTCGTGGCTTCCACCATCTCCACTACCATCATCATCATCATCATCACCATCTCCACCATCTTCACCACCATCAGCACCTGTCAGTGACCACAAAGCGTTGCAAACTGGAGACTGTCAGCCTGCCTACCAGCCCCTGCGCCGAGAACGGCCTTCATCGCCAGCTAGTGCTAAGCAAGACCCGCGTCATCACCGCCGACGACCTCGCCCAGCGTCTCGTGCATCTCGAACGACCCTCCGCCGTTCCGCCAGTGATTCTGGATTGCAGACCGTTTATACTTTACAACGTCAATCACGTACGCGGTGCCATTAACGTCAACTGCTCGGATCGCTTCAACCGACGCAGACTACAGCTGGGGAAGGCCACTCTCGCCGATCTCGCAACCGCTCGCGAGAGCAAAGAGCTGCTCAGGAAGAGACAGTTCAAGGAAGTCATAGTGTACGACGATTGTACCGACGACCTGGAACACTTGCCCGCTCAGCACCCGTTGTTCCTGGTACTTGCTGCACTCGTGGACGACGATCGGGAGCCGGCTCTGCTAATCGGTGAGTGCTCTTCGGGTTTTTTTTTACACACCTTCGACCGGTGTGTTGCTTTATGGATCGGTAGAGATGACTGAACTTTGCTCAATCGTTTAAAAAAATAATCTCGCGATTATTTTGGCCATTGAATCCTTCCACTGGGAAAAAAAAAACTTGAATATTTGTAAATTATTTTATATTAATTGCGTTGCCTTATCCGAAAGCAAATTGCAAAACAAAACTGATATATACAGTCGAATTGAAAACTAGGGACTCGTAATATATCTGAAAGGTTATTATCCGTAATATATCTCATGTGGCAAATCTCTATAGTTACTACCACATTTGCTGTAACTTAACTTTGCTAGGCACGATTCTCATGCTATCAAATATAGTACAACTGATAATAGTAAGATAATGATATCCGAAGATATCGGATGACCTACACATATTAGCAAAATATCTTAGACAAATTTTTCAATAGACAATAGATATTGCGATATTGCGTATTATTATTTGAAGATATACAGAACTTGAAAGCTTATACAATTCAAATCTGTTAATATGCAAGATTAAGTAGCATTAGTAAACTAACGAAGTGGAATTATGATGAACAGAATTAGCGAATTAACTCGCAAAAGGGATATTAGCGCAAATAATTTAAAAATAATCTAAAAATCTCGAGATTTATCGATTTAATGAATTTTTAATTAGCGTGAGATCTACAAATTCAAAATAAATTATCCCGGTGATTTTTACTAAGGACGAACGATCCTCGCCGATCTGTCCCTTATAATTTTTTCTTGTAACGCGGTATTTGTTTACAAAAGCGAAGCGGCCGCGAAACACGGCGTACTCTCTGTTTGTCGTCTATCCGGTCCTCTACGTGGGAGTCGAGTCTCTGGTTTTCGGAAATAACGATGATGCGAGCGCGATATTTCTGCCGGCCCGCCAATCGCGCGTCGAAACTTTTACGCCGATCATTCTCTGCCATCACATTTTTACGCTCATTATATACTATTAATTCTTCGTAGTCTCGTACTCTTTTTTACCTTTTTTTATGATACGCTATTATCTATTAAAATATCTATTAAAATATTAATCTGTTTTCTTAAAAGCGTGTTCTGCAGCTCCCGTCAATCTCTCGTTTTTATCATTAATCTTCTTCTTCGTAAATTTTGTTTTATTACGGAGCGTTGTTTTAAGCTAAAATGAAGGACGACAGATGGCCAAAAATAGTCTGTTTAAAAAAAAATTCAATATTGGGAGGATTAAATTTACTTCTTTATCGTCTTTATCTTATTTCTCCTTACGTGAACATTTCTTCCCAGTCTGATATTTACTGAAGAAAAATAATAGTGATTTAACGTCGCTTTACTTTAATGCTGCTTTCTCTTTTTCTTTATTTCTCTTTTTAACCACCTCATATTTCCGCTTCACTTCTTTCTCGTCAGCGTAAACAGTGCTGGCATAATTTTATTTTAGATACGCCGCGCGCGTCTCTCTGACGTAAAAACTGTTCGCGAGAATTTAAGAATGACGTGTTTTAAAGAAAGACAGTTTTTTTTTCGCGTAATTTAAAAATCTGACCACTTATTGTTAGATGCAAAATAGTAAATACTAGATTTAAACGGCACATATATTCGTTAAAAAGCGAAAGCGAAGGAAATGTTGTTCTTCTGTACAGAAGATCTCAATCGGCTTAATTAATTATTAATAATTAAAATCGCTTTGTCACGCCGCGCGATTCAACATTCAGAATCGAGCGGATAACGATATAAATATAGCTTTCATCTACGATAGAATCGTAGATCTGAATGTTACGCTGCGCGAATGTGAAATTAGGGAGATTGGGGAGGTGAATCATGTGCCCGTTAATTTTCCACGTGAATGTTGCGAGATAATGGGGGTTGGGAGAGGGCTTCGGGGGGTTTCGGAGGGCTCGAGGAAGAGAACGCGGACGGAGAGATCCGCTCGAGCGGATCGCGCGGCTGCGGCTGCGACGACGACGACGACGACGACGACGGCATCGACATCGTGCTCGCATCGTCGCGGTCGGCGCGTATACGAAGGCGAAAGGTGGGGATCTATTCATAGGAGTGACTCACGTCGGAGATGACGCCGCGAATAGTCGGACAGATTTTGCGCGCCGCGATCTGCGCTTTCGCCGTGTTTTCGCGATGCCGCGCAGCAAGGGGAGATGAATTATAGCGGAGCATTACGGGAGATTTGTCCAGAGTTTGCACGCTAATCGTGCCGAATTGAATATTAAGCCCACATTCGCGCACTAAAAGTCGCTAAATATGGCCACGTGATTCTCACCGAGGTCTGGCGTTACGTCGTCGCAGGCCTCGCGATAACGGTATCGTAAACGCTCCGCGGCGATAAAATTTTCGAAGTCGAAGGAAATAAATAATACAGCGTTTCACGTATCACATATAAAAATCTAACGATACAACAACATTAGGCTATATGGTCTCCATATTTTTATATCTTTCTTATTTAATTCTCATGTCCTAAAGTAAAATCGCAGAATCGCAAATTTTTTCAAGTATAATTTCTCGTTATAAATGTAATTTATATTATAAAAATATGTTATTAAAAAAATTATCGAATCGATCAAAAGGCACAATAGCAATACAATTCGAGAGGGGCAGGGGGAAAGGAAAAAGAGAGAAAGGAATAATAATATTAATATGTAATAAAAGTATACAATTTTATTTTTTTTTTTACTATTCAGGCATTTCTTCTTTTCGTTATTCAGCAATGAGCGCGCGGACGTCACTCTTGACACATCGTGTCTGGTTATTACATAATTAGTAACGATTCGCGGCCGCCTATAAACAACGAGAGCGAAGCATCGTGTGGCTCGTTTTGGCGAGGCTAATGCGCGCGTCTGGTCTCCCGGTCGGTCCCGATCGCATTTTTCTCAGACGACGACGACGACGACGACGACTGACTGCGACGTTGAAAGCATGAGTCACCGTGTATATCGACCCTACGGCATGTTTACGCTAGCTAAGCGCACGAACGGCCATATGTCAAAATCACGATTGCATAACGTATATCCCCTGCGTTGTCGTCGCCGTTGCGTCTCTCACTCTCTTTTGGGACGATTTAGATGTGAGTCACTTGCGCGGGTTACGAGATTTTCCTATCGCCGCGACCTTAACCCTTTCAGGTGCGTCCGGCTCTTCCGTGCCTCGATCGTGCTGCGGCGCGACTTTCGCTCGAGAAAGAGGCTGAAAAATTGCTCGAATAAAGACTTAAAAGGAACGAAGCGGAACGACGTTGCGTCCGTCTGTAAGATCGTGTATATCGTGAAACATTGTATTTTGTATTCGTTGAATGCACTTTCTAATAGTTAAGAATTCGATCGTTGGAAGCTATTCTATCGTTTTACTATGCAACAATAGTAAAATGTACTTGTTTGCAACAAATATTTCGTATAATATTAGTCTAGCTGACATTTCAATTATTAGGCTATATCTTTTTAGTTCTAAAAATTCAACTTTTAGAACTGCATAGTATAACTGCATAACTTGTATTTTAAGACGAAGAATTTCTAAGTACGACTCTGTTTATAAAGTCACGGAAGAGAGAATAAGAAGACCATAATGCATAAACAATGTGTAATAATAATAAATTGATATTAACTAACGATTAACGAATTATTGATATACTAATATATAATTAAAAATGATGAAATATATATATATATATAATTTATAACTCTATAATATACATATAAATACCTAAATTAATCAGATGTATGTATAGCTAATCAAATAATAATAAATTTATATAAATTATATAATAATCTTATTATAAAAACTTAACATAATTAAATTATATATTTTTACTATATATGAGCAAACACTTCGGAGTATTTAGAGTCAATAAATGAAGCCGAATTCGGAGCTTAATGAATTAGTCATCGCTCTCTGAAGCCGTGGGGGGTTGCTGTATTTTTTCCATTGTGCCGCTTTTTCATCCCCCTTCCGTTTAAGGGTGCAACGGAGGTGGTGGTCTAATCGAGGGGGAGCGCGCGCCTCAGAACAACGTACAACGCATCTGGATCAGCTGTCGATGACGATTATTACGTATGAGTCATCCGATACACAGCTCGCTTTAAAATGTATCAATGACTAACGCGCGTCCAGCTCACAATCGTTCCAGGCCTCCCCCCTTTACCCCTTCACCCTTCAGGTCCCTTTGTGCTGCACCGGCGTGATTCAAGTACTGCTAGGATCGTGATGGAGGATCTAAAAATACGGGGTGTCCGGTGACTCTAGCCGCGTCCCGTAACTGCTCGTTCAACTTATTCCTATGGTGTCGACGTAAATATACAAGGGTGTTATCGATGATACAAGCTAACGAGAATATTTAGGGAAGCGCATCGATATAATCCTACGTAAAAAAAAACAAGTGGAAAATGTAGAAACTTCTTTTTCTGTACGACGCTTCGTTTTCGAGAGACTCGAATTTCAAGGACTGGTAACGTGTCGCTTTTTTATTTTCTACTTGTATAACTGTCACGACATCGCGTGCCGTAGATTGATAAATTCAGCAACTATTTTATCGGTGTCGAGTACAGTGTAAACCTTCTTTTCATTCATACCACGATAACCGAAATCGTTAAGATATATCGGATGATTAAAATCGCAAGTTAAATTGAAATTCGAACTTAAGACAAATTACCAAAGGTGTTATTAATTCTTTTATTTTCAAAATTATTTTTCTGAAGACAAAGTCTCGTGTAAAAAGGTTTCGTTGTAATATGTACTCGACTCTCTTTCTCGTTTTCACGTTAAATTATCTTATATTTGTATACAACAAGTGAATGGCGGCTAGAACAGAGTTACCTACCTGTTAGGATTACACAAAACCTGATCCGCTACAGTATATCCGCAATTCTTCCTTGGAAAATGTAAACGGCGCATTGGCAGTTAATGATACGGCGCGTGTTATAATGCAGTAAGTGTTATAACGCTGGTTTATGTTTTATTGATGTATTATCTTAT